ATGATTCTTTCTATCTGCTTCTCTTCTTTCTACTTTCGACTAGACCACATAAATAACCACTGTCTAAGTAAACACAAAAAAGAGAAGAAAAGAAAAGAATAAAAAGCGCTTCCAAATGATTGAACCATTGCTATCATCATCAAGTTAGGCGATTAGAAGCACATAAAAATAAAGACTTCACCTAAACCATAAAAGAAAGTCACGCTTCGACGATACTGTGAACCAAAAAATAAATCCATAAAAAGAAAAAGCCTAAAGAAGCCAAAGGCCAAAGAAAAGGGCAAATTACCGGTAGGAAACCCACTAAGGGGGCTACACAAAAGTTAGGGTCAACCGGTAGGATACCCGAACGACAATAAAGGGTAGCCTAGGCAAAAGTTAGGGTTACAAATAAAGGTCCGCTAGGATTTCTCCAAAATTTTACAAGAGAGTAAACCTAGACAAAAGTTAGGGCCAACACACGGTATCCTAGTTCGAAAACCCAAAGGGCGATCTAGGGAAATCGATCGACTATCCAAAAAAGCGATGGAAATAAAACCAAAGAGCGCAAAAAAAAAAACAAATACAAAAAGAAAAGAGAGAGGAAAAGGTTTGCTTAGACAAAAGCTTAAACACTCATGCTTAACCCTTAACCGACCATTCTTACAAATTCTTTATCAATAAAAATCAACCCTCTAAAACACAAACCATTGATTTTTACCTCATCTTACTTCTCTTCTCTTGACCCTCACGACAATATTCTAATAATTAATTTAGGAATATGGAGGCGTATAGTCAACAAGAGGATTGAAACCCCTAAAGCAAGGAAAAAGGGACACTACATGACAAAAAGTGCTCTACCAAAAGAAAAAAACCAAAAAAGAAGAGAAAAAAGGAGAGAAAGAAAAAATAGAGAAAGAAAAATAGAAAGAAAGAAAGAAAGAGATTATCCTTCGGTCACAAAAATCCGGCATGGTACAGACCAAAAAGGAAAAATGCGGCAAATCGGAAGGCTTTCGGCCACAACAAGACACGTCGGTTAAATCCTTACGAAAACTTAATCAAAATAGGCATTATAGGACATCAAAACATAAAAACATTGCATGCATAAAATGTTTTTAGACCAGGTCCTATTACTCCTTTCAAAAAATAACAAAAAAGCAATAAAAATACAAAAAATGAAAATTTTCTCTTCAGCGAAACGAGACCGCCGTCTCGAGCGCACCGAGCCGCCGTCTCGGTTGCACGACAAAACGAGACCGCCGTATGGGCCAACCAGAACGCCGTCTCGTTGTTGTCAAAAGCGAGAACGCCGTCTCATCGCACCCGGACCGCCGTCTCGTCCGGAAGAAAAAGCGAGACCGCCGTCTCGTCCACCCGAGACGGCGGTCTCGATCCGGAAATTTTCCCTATATATAGGGGCGCGACTTTGGGCTTCCTCACAACTCATTTTGGCCCAGAACCTCCTCTCCCTCAACTCCTGCACTCCCAAGCCCCCTCTAGTCAATATGTTTGGAAGAAGCGCTTCTAGAAAGAGAAGGGGCACTGCCGGTGCTAGTAGTTCCGCAGCACAGCCATCCCGGGACCCTTCCCGGCTTGCGCCACGGCACCGAGGCCCGTCTTGAGAATATCCGGACCTACCAGTGGCACCACTATGCTCAAGCTGGATTTTAACATGCTTGGCTGAGTTCGGATGGGAGGACGGCGTCCGGGCCCACCTAGACGACATTGGGTGGGGATTCTGCTGCACCCACCACCTACACATGTTTACCGCGGGCGGTCTTGGAATTTTTAGCCTCCGTCTCCTACTCAGAGAGCCCCTCCACTGTCCCGGGCCTACCACCCACTCGGATGGTAACCTACTTTATGAATGGGCGGTACCAGGACTTCCACCCTCAAAGAATTCAACATGGACATCGGGTTCATCCGGCCGAGGAGGCCATGACCCGGGAGTGCCGTGACGCCATCCGCTCACGGCCGCCCACCTGCTGCTCTGTCGAGATGTGGCGCGAGCTCACGGGAGCCACCACATTGCCCACGGCCCGATGAGGGGATCTGCACTTCCCCGACACTCGCATACGCCACAAGGCTGGCTGCTGGAACTATCCATGGGAGGAAAGAAAGTCAAGGCAAGATATCCCTCCCGACCTCTTCATACTATCTTGCATGAGCCGAGAGGCGGCGCGCAATCCGGGTACTTCTTCACGAAAGCCCTCGGGGACTTCGGGAGCAGTCTGCGGGGGCGTCCTCGTTGCTCCCCTCATCACCCCCTTAGCGAGAAAGGATTGGGTGCCACTGGCGGGAAGAGGCGGCCCATAACCTGCGACCGAATCAATCGGCGGAACAATCTTGGTCGGCATGGGAATGCTTGATCCGCGAGAGGAGCCAGTGGCTCTCCACCCCACCCTGGATTTTGCCTTAGAGCTCCGAGGATGTGATGCGGTCGTGCCCACATCCCCTGGTTCCCAGCGACGGCAGCAGCGGCAGCAGCGGCAGCGGTGGCCGCCCGGTATTCGAGACGACTTTCTTGGCATGCACCTCCACATGGACGACTCGTGCCGCGGCTCGATGGTATGGCTGTGAGACAAGAACAGGTGTCCCGAGGCGTGAGCGGCTATTCCAAACGAGTGGAGCAATTGTCCCAAAGGCAAGAGGCCTTTGACACCGACTGGGGAGATGTACCGGCACCAACAAAGCATGCGCCAAGGCTGGGCGACTTTTCGGCAGAGGTACCGGGATGAAGTCCAAGAGATGGAGGACTTCGGATACCATATGTACCAGACATTACCCTCCCCGGGGATCAGGCCCGAGAAGATAGCCCTTAGGGATAGTAGCTCCAAAAATAGGGTTGTAATAAAATTTTCCCAATAAATAAAATTTTATTTCATGCATCTTTTTGCCACCCTTTCCAAAAGTCGGCGTAACAAAAAGAAAACTAAGAGTAAAAGACATACGCTCAATGAAAAAAGCCAAAATCCTAAATCGCGAGAAAAGAGAGATAAACCGCGAGAACAAGGCGGGATTAAGCCATCGCACCAACCAATAAAGTTTCGACCACTAGAGCAAAAGCCAAACAAAACCAAGATCCATCCAACCAACCAGACCGGGATTGGAAGATCACTACCAAAAGAACAAAAACAAAGGACCCCGGCAATCGGCAAAGGCCGATTGATCACCAACAAAATCCCGGCATGGCCAGGATGACTATTCAAGAAATCGAAGCGATCAAATCAACACAAGACGCATTCTCCGAGAAGAATGCGCCTGATCTGCGCTCGAGCCGGATCGATGAAGTCGCATTACCACCACGATGGGGGGTTCATACCCATTCGGTCCCGCACGACGGATGTCACGCCACGATGGGGGGCTCGTACCCATCCGGTCCCGCACAGCGAACTGCAACTACCGGCCTGATGGGGGGTTTATACTCATCAGCAGAAGGATCGGCTACGTCGGGAGTAGTATCAGGAGGTTCCACCACGTGTCCATCGAAGGGATCGGCTACGTCGAAGTAGTATCCTGGAAGTGCACGAGCACAGAAATCATTCCCCGAGAGTCGGCGCATGAGCCACCGAGCGATGCGCCGCCACTACCACCGGTCCTCACGCAATGGGCCGTACCGAGCCGAATAGGAGGTTTATACCTATCAACCGGCACACGAGAGCGCCTAGCCGGCGCATGGGCCACATGATCGTAAGCGCCATTACCACCACGATGGGGGTTCATACCCATCCAGGTCCCACACGACGGACCAGTACCACCACTGATGGGGGGTTCATGCCCATCCGGTCCCACACAACGGACCAGTACCCGGCCTGATGAGGGTTTATACCCATCAGCCGAAGGATCGGCTACGTCGAAGTAGTATCCGGAGGTTCTACCACGTGTTCACCAAAGGGGTCGGCTACGTCGAAATAGTCTCTCGGAGGCACATGACCATCTCCCCGGAAGGATCATCCAGCCACAAGATGGGACATCCGAAAGGCAGCCAGAGCAAGAGGGTCAACTCCTTTACCCCCGGTCGATCATCCCGACAACGAAGGCCGGCGATCGGCTGGACGGGTAAAGGGGGCAGCTGTAGACCCCAAATCTTGCCGGGCTCCAAATAAAGTCGAGAAGACCCCCTATTTGAAGACGGTGAAGCCTAACAAGCCACTAGGAGAGACTATTAGGCTCCGTACCAAGATAGGAAGGTTTTTCGGGCCAAAAAATAAGTTTTCTCGCCTCGAAGGGACGAGACCGCCTTCTGGATGACCCGGACCGCCGTTTCGTCTCGCGTAGCAAGGCGAGGCCGCGCGTCTCGTCTAGCGAGACCGGGTCGCTCGTCTGACGAGGCAGGGGTCTCGTTGCCTACGCAGCGAGACGGCGGTCTCGTTCACCCAAACCGGGGTCTCATTGCCTACGAAAACGAGACGGCGGTCTCGTCCACCGGACGGCGGTCTCGTTGCCGGTAAAGAACGAGACGGCGGTCTCGTTGGGCCGAGACGGCGGTCTCGACCATGTCGAGGCAGGCCGCGCGGTCTCGCCATCCGACAACGCGAAAACCTATAAATAGGGGCTCTCCCCCCTCATTTCCACACACCACAGTTGCATAGCTCTCCACTTCTCTCTAAAACTTCTCTCTAGAATCCCTCAGACGCATTTCGGAGTTTTCGAGTGTTTTCAAAGAGTGATTTTCGGCGTTCGAGAGGTTTCAGACGTCTTGTAGAGTGAAGGGCTGCCATAAAGCACCCTCTTTTTCCGGAGAATTAATATAAAAAGCGTGCTTCGGAGGTTCAAATTCTCCGCTTTCCACCTTCTACCGCTTTTATCTTAAATTATGCAGGTAGACGGTAGGGCCATGTAGTCATACTCTTAAATTCGCAAAATAACAAGGGCAAAAGCGTTTTTTTAGTTTGCTCCAGTAAAAATAATGACCTATGTATAGAGGCTCACGAAAGGGAAAGAACAGCAAAGAGGACTAATTAGCTCCCCGCTGCCATGCATTGACTCCCAGGCATAGCGCTGCAACTACGGTTCTAATGGGCTTAGGGATTAGTTTTGCCAGACTATGCTTTTTCAGGCTATTCACAAACACTGCCGTCGATTTTATTCAGGTGAAAAGAATGATGGGATGAAGATACCATCACATTGGGCTCGTCACCACCTGCTTTCATTACAAACGCCAATAGTGAAGAGCTACGAGGCTCGAGTTCGACGTTCACCGCCACGGGGATAGAAATCATCCTGGGAGCCCAAGGACTGAGGGCCCGAAGAAATAGCGACAGAATCTATCCTCACCATAGATGGTCTGCAAAGGCAATGCAAGAAAAATGATCATGAAATAGAGCGCCTCAAGGATCGGTGCCTTGACTCCAACGAGCAAGTTATCCAGAGCATCCAAAGCTGCGAGAACCGGCTCGGATAGCCAAATTCAAGAGATAACCGCCAAGTCAAGGACACATCTTGAGGGCCGAATCAGGCAAAGCAGGGCTCCCGAGACGATCAAGGGAGGTATTGCAAGAACTCACCAGGAACTCGGTACTCGAGAAATACGCCAAGAGCGAGAGGCCAGCCGAAGACTCAGGTCACTCGTTCAGTGGCTCGGCATACGCTGCAACGTAAAGGAACACTGGGACTGAGCCAGGACTGACCGATGGATACCTAGGCAAGAGAAAGGCCGAGCCATTGCGAAGCTCGATGAAGCTTGCAAGCCTTGGTCATCCATCAAGAGGCGAAGATCAAAGAGGCTCAAAAGTATAGTGAAGACATGAGCCTGGGCGGTTCGAGGAGCAAGCGAAAACACTTGCTCGTCACGTCGAGGAAGCCAGAAGAGAACTACATAGAGATCAAGACCCGCTGTGGGTTTCTTTAGGCTTTTCCGTTTTTGCCAAAAGTTGCTTCGTAGTATGGAGTAGGGGAATGTACACCTTCTAAATGGATAAATGAAATTCTTCTTTATTCTACAATTGTCTACTCGCATGCATATCATTCATTTGCATATCTAATTTCCCCTCCTTCACACTTAATAAATAAGATAATAAAAAGGAAGGATTAACTAATCACGTCTTCCAAATCAGGAAGAATGGAGAGAAAGCCACTCCTAATAAAGCTTACCCCAACGGTCAGACTCACTAGAGGAGGATAATAGGCCTCAACACGTTGGTCCTCAGAAATAAGGAAGAGGGGGCAAGGACACCAGTGCGACTATTTATGCCACGTCCATTCCCCTACGAATCAAATAAAGTTGTACCATGGAGATACGGGGAATCTTCACCAGTAAAAGAAGAAATAACAAACATAGTCGGCATCGGGGGCATGACCAGAAGTGGAAGAGTCTACTCCCCCAAGGACCCACAAGAAGATATCCTCAAAAATAAAGGAAGATGACATTTTGATCAGTGGACCGTCTACCCAACCTTATGTGGATGCGGCTGAAGAGGCCCTTGAAACATCTTTTCAAGCGCTCGAAATTGCCAACATAGAGCGACTTCCCAAAAACACAAAGGTAGCCCGCATGATGTTGAGGCATGGCTACCATCCTGGCCAAGGACTGGGGGCAGATTCCCAAGGCATGAGGAAACCCCCAGAATTCAAAGACAATCCTTTCAAGTATGGCCTAGGATATGACCCTACTAAAGGTCGAGCGGAAAGAAGAAAAGGGAAGTCTCCCCTCCGCGCACTCAAGCAAATTTTCCGAAGTGGAGGGATGCAAGCATCAAGAGCTACTCTAGTCATTAGGAGATCTTTTCTTCATTTAAAGGATGTAAACCCCATGATTGTTAGAGATTATCCCCTGGGGCTAGCCCAACCCCCGGGCATTTTAGGGCACATATTCCTCTTATTAATTAATGAAGGATATACTTCTGCTCATGTAGATCTGCTTCTCTTTCTCTTATGACGACTAGACCTCATAGATGACCCGCTGTCCTGAGTAAACAAAAAAGAAGAAGAGATAAAAGCGGCATACAGGAAATAGTCAACATTCGCCATTGCCATCTCAAGGTCAAGCTAGTTGATTAGAAGCACATAAAAATAAGACTTTACCTCACCATAAAAGAAAGTCATGCTTCGCCAATATTGTGAACAAAAAATAAATATACAAAAAAAATAAAAAAAGAACAAGCCCGGAGAAGGCGAAAGGCCAAAGAAGAAGGGCAAAATACCTAGGTAGGAAACCCACTAAGGGGGCTATGCGAAAAGATAGGGTCGACAGGTAAGATACCCGAACAAAAATAAAGGGTAGCCTAGGAGAAAATTTAGGGTTACAAAGAAGGTCCGCTAGGATTCCAGCCGCAGGCGTTGAGGAACCGACAGAACACGTCAGTTAAATCCTTCTCGAAAAATTCACTAAAATAGGCATTATAGGACATCGAACATAAAAACATTGCATGCATAAATATGTTTTTGAACAGTCCCTATTTTACGCACAAAAAAATACACCAAGAACTCTCAGGACCGCCGTCCAGGGATCTCCAGGCTGCCATTCCGGTTCTGACAAATTCAAGACCGCGGGTCTCCGACTGCAGGCAAAGCAAGGACGAGTCCTCGTCTGAACCCAAAGGCGGAGACCGTCGTCTCGCTGATCAGAAGGTGGGTACTCGCCTGGCCAGACCGAACCAGGTCTCGACTTCCCAAACGAGCGGTCTCGAGTCGAATTTCGCCCCTATATATAGGGGTGGCGCCTTGGGGGATCCTCACAACTCCCCTTGCCTCCAAAGCCTCCAGACTCTCTAGATCTCCACTTCAAAGACACTTCCCGGCCAATATGTTCGGTGGAAACCCCTCAAGAAAGAGGAGAGGCACCGTCGGTGCTCAGCGTCCTATGCACCAGCCCCGAGGATCCTACTCGGCTTCCGCCACGGCACCACGAGCCGCGCCTCGAACACATTTGGGGTTATTCGCTGGCACCCCATGCTCGAGGCTCGACTTCAGGCATCCTCACGGAGTTCGGTGGGAGGACGATGTCCGGGCCTACATAGATGGCATTTGGTGGGGCTTCCTCCTGCGAGTCTCCACCTACCCACGTGTACCCTCGATGCCTGGACGGCAGGTTCTTGGCCTCATCATCTCCACGCCAAGTAGGCGCGCCATCACGTGATCCTTAGCCCTCGCGCCACCAAGATGGTGAGACTTGCAGCTGCATGCGAGTGGAAGATCTTGGACTCTTCTACCCCTCTGACAGCAGGTCCAATGTGAGACATCGGATTCTGTCCTCAGGCCCCGAGGATGTTGCTCACTGAGGGTTCTTCCTGCAGGAGGCTCATGCTCTTTGCGCCACCAGCCTTGACCTCACCGCCCGCCAGAAATGTGCAGGGAGCTCACCGGAGCCACCCACGCGCCCACGCCAATGTTGGAGGCTCGAGGCCTGCCATCCCATCTTCGCATTGCGCACTGGCGTTGTGTGGACGAGAGTCCATCCTGGAGGGAAGGAAGGTGAGGTAGGTACGCCTGCCGAGACCTCTCTATACTCCTGATTGCATGGGCCCAAGAGGCGGCTGCAATCACGACTACTTCTTCCCGAGGGCCCTTAGGACTTCGGAGGCGAGACCGAGCGGAGCCGTCTTCATGGCTCCTCTTATCACTCCCCGGAAGAAAAATGGGGATGTCGCTGCCGCGTCTCAAAAGAGAGATAAGGTCGGTCGGAAGCGACGCGATGGTTTTTCGACCCTCTTGATTTTCTGCGTTTTTATGGGTGGTTACAACGCCTTTAGGTTGTCCGATACTCAGGCTAACCTAGGGGCGAGGTTTTTGAAAGGCGTCCTTGGGTTGTCCGAATGCCTAGGGCTAACCCACGGACTAATTTGTAGGGTTACGTGGAGATGCATGCCTTTGAGTGCTTTTACCGGAAACATCGGAAGGAAGAGGTTATAAAGGCGTTGGTTTACGAAAACCAACTTTGGTCATTAGAACCGAGTTGGGTAAGGGGAGTTAGTTACGTGTAAAGGAAGTATTAGTTCCTTTACTACGCCCCTGTCCAGGTTCCCATGATAGGCGGCTATCTAAAAATATTTAAACCGGTGAAAATAACGTTTTTGCCCATTTATTATGCCGGAATTTAAATTTATGACTACATGGCCCTAATCTATTGCATCATTTAAAATTAAAGCGAGTGAAATAGGAGAGAGAATTTAAACCTCCGAAGCAAGCTTTCTTTTTTATTCTTTAACAAAAATGGGTGCTTTTTGGCAGCCCTTCACTACTACACGAACCCGGAAACTCTTCTAGACGTCGAAAAACACTCAAAAGGCACTCAGTAAGCTCAGAAAATGAGTCCGGAGGGATTCTAGAGTAGAGAAGTTTTAGAGAGGAAGGGAGAGACAAAAGGCATGGCGCGTGGTGCTGAAATGAGGGGGAGGACCCATATTTATAGGTTTTCGTGCAGGCAGTGCGCGGGGCGCCGTTCGTCGTCGACCAGCGGTCGAGACAAGCCGTCTCGCCAAACCCGAGCAGCGCCGTCTCCGCGTCTGCGCAGGTGGGCGAGACTCGCCGGTCTCGTCAAACGAGACCGCCGTCTCGCCATTCGCAGGTGACGAGACCGCCGTGCGGGAAAGCGGGACCGCCGTCTCGCCATTCGCGAGTGGCGAGACCGCCGTCTCATCAAACGATGACTGGCGGCTTCGCCACTTGCCCGAGGTGACAGACGGTGGTGCTCGATTTCAGACGAGCGGTCTCGTCCCGAAGAGGCGAGAAAACTTATTTTTGGTGCCGAAAGTCCTTCCTGTCCTAGTATGGGGCCTAATAGTCTCTCCTAGTGGCTTGTTAGGCTTCGTCCATCTTCGAATAGGAGGTTCTTACTGCTCTTTATTAGGAGGCTCGAGCAAGATTGTGGGGTCTACAGCTGCCCCCTTTCCCGATCCGATCGTTTGCCGGCCTTTTGTGCCAAGGTGATCGGCGGAGGGTAAAGAAAGTTGACCCTCTTTCCGGTTGCCGCTTCGATGATGCTCCGTCTTGCGCGACCGATCTTCTGGGGGAAGTGTTGTGCTTGTCTTCGAGGATGCTTCTTCGGCGATAAGCCGATCCCTTCGGCTGATGAGTACGAACCCCCATTTGGTTTTGACGAGTATGAACCCTCGCCTCATAAGCCCCTTTTGTAAGGCTTGATGAGTACACACCCCCATCTCGGTGTTTGACGAGTATGAACCCCGCCCGGTAAGCCCCCTTTTTGTAAGGCACGATGAGTACACACCCTCATCGGTGTTAAGCCTCCGGATGCTCCATCTTGCGGTAGGCTGATCCTTTGGCTATGGTGGCGGCTTACTGCTCTAGCTCATGCGGCTCGGCGTGAAACTCCTCGGGATGCTCCTTTGACGCTGCAGTAGGCCCGACCCCTTGGTTGGACGAGTATGAACCCTCGTCGGTCTTGGTGCCCTCTGGATGCCCCTCTTGCGGTAGGCGATCCTTTGGCTATGGTGGCGGCTTCCGCTCTCAGCTCATGCGCTCGGCGTGAAACCTCCGGAATGCTCCTTTGACAGCGGCAGCTAACCCCTTGGTTGACGAGTACGAACCCTCATCCTGGTTTGGTGCCTCTGGATGCCCCTTCTTGCGTAGCGCGATCCTTTGGCTATGGTGGCAGGCTTCATCGCTCTAGCTCATGCGCCAGAGCGTGAAACCTCGGAATGCTCCTTTGAGGCGGTAGGCTGACCCCTTGGTTGACGAGTACAAACCGCTCGTCTGGTTTGGTGCCTGCGGATGCCCCTTCTCGCAGGTAGCGTGATCCCTTGGCTATGGTGGCGGCTGCCATCGCTTCTAGCTCATGCGCCGGCGTGAAACCTCGGGATGCTCCTTTCGAGCTGGTAGCCGACCCCTTGGTCGGCGAGTACGAACCCTCGCTCGGTTTGGTGCCTCTAGATGCCCCTTCTTCGCGGTAAATGCGATCCTTTGGCTATGGTGGCGGCTTCTCGCTTCTAGCTCATGCGCACTCCTTGGGGAGTGACTTCGTGATGTATTTGGACCTCTTTGAATGGTCATTCTGGACTCGTGCCAGGGATTTTGTGCTTCATCGCAGCTTCGTTGGTCTTGAGGGATTCTCTGTTTTTGTTCAGACTCTTGCTTGGATGAGTCTTGTTGTTTTATTCGAATTTTACTTGGTAGTCGAAGTTTTGTCGGTTGATGTGATGGCTTGTGTTAATCCTCTGCCTTTTCTCGCGGTTTTTATCTCTTTCTCTAGCGATTTAGGATTTTGGCTTTTTCTTATTGAGCGTATGCTTTTTTTCCTTTTTAAGTTTTTTTTGTTACACTAGCTTTTGCAAGGAGGTAGCAAAGAGATGCATGAAATAGAATTTTTATTTATAGGAAATTTTATTACAACCACTTTTTTATTTAGAGCAAGTACCATCCCCAAGGCTATCTTATGGAGATGATCCGCTGGGAAAATTGCTTGGTAGAGGTGATCACAGTGAGAGCCTTGCTACTTTCTGGGACTTAGTCGCGGTACTCTGTTGGAATGTTGTCCATTCCTGCCGCATCACCTGGCGATGCTTTGGCACATCTCTTCTTGTACGGGTATGGTAGGCTTCTTGGCGCGCCGTCATTTGGTCGAATTCGCGGCCAGCAGGTGCGTTCATGTTGCGATGTCATGCGGCCGAAGTCGTCCGCTGCATAGGTGGTTGCCGCCTGCTGTATTCGAATCGTGGGGCGTGGGGGATATCCTGCATCGCCACCAGCCCACGGAGATCTAGTGCGAAATCCAGTGTGGGGATGGAGGGCCAAATGGGTCCCTCGACGTATCAGCATTCCCATGCGGCCAGTAGGTCGACCGTTAGTCGATGGTCTCTGGTTCGCAGAGTTGGAGGCCAGCTCTTCCCGGCCAGAGGACCCCCATCTTTCCGCCAGGGAGTGATGAGGGGAGCCACGAGGACGGCCCCTGCGTGCATCTGTTTCCGAAGTCCTTGAGGGCTCTGAGGAAGAAGTAAGCTGGGGTTATAGCGCGCTTTCAGCTCATGCAATAAAGTACGAAGAGGTCGGGAGGAGACCTTGCCCCCGGCTCTCTTTACCTCCCATGGATGGTTCTGCACCGCTGTGACTCGCCAGTGCGCGGATCTGCGCGAGTCTGAGGACGGCTCACGGAGCCCTCATCGGCGTGAGGCGCGTGGTGGCTCTCGTGAGCTCATGCCACATTTCGACTAGCGGTGAGGATGGTGGGCCGGGAGCAGATGGCCTCACCGGTATCCCCGGGTCGGCGTGTCCACGGGCCGGACGAACCCGATGGCCATGTTGAACTCGCTCGAGGGTGGTGGTCTGTAGCTTCCACCCATGAAATAGGTCACCATCTTGAGGTGGGTCGTGGAGGCCCGAGGCCGTGGGTGGGGACCTTGGAGTCAGGAGACCAAGAGCCAAGAATTCCGGAGCGCTCTGGTCGGGTACACATGTGTGGGTGGTGGCTGCGGCAGAAGCCCCACCCGATGCTATCTATGTGGGCTCTGGACTGTCGTCACTCCCACCCAAATTCCACCCGAGGATGCTGAAATCAAGTCTCGGCATCGGGTGCCGACTGATAGGTCGGATGTTGTCGAGGCGGGCCTGGTGTTGTGGTGATAGTGAGAAGGATCCTGGGGTGGCGGTGCCGCAGAGCTGCTGGCACCGGCAATGCTCCTTCTCTTTCTTGAAGCGCTTCTGCCAAACATCTTGACTAGAGGGGGCTTGGGAGTGCAGGAGTTGAGAAAGGGAGGTTCTGGAGGCAAGGAGAGTTGTGAGGAACCCCCCAAGCGCGCCCCCTATATATAGGGAATTTTTCAAATTTGAGGCTGCCAGTGCGGGAAGCGAGACAGCCGGTCTCGTGTCTCCTCCAAGTCGAGACAGGCGGTGCCTGACCATCGGAGGCGACGGGCTCGACGTTAGGCTCAAGGCTACGAGACGGTGGTCTCGCCTAGCGAGACTGGCAGCCTCGCTTTCGCCTGAGTCGAGACAACAGTCCGGTTGCGTCGAGCCCGAGGCGTTCTTGCTTGCTGTCGCCGAGATGCAATACGAGACCAGGCTGATGCGGAACCATGAGCGAGCGGTCTCGAGATGCCTACAAGTGTTTTTTTTTTTTTGAAAGAAATAGGACCCGGTTCAAAAACATTTTTATGCATGCAATTTTTTCATGTTTGATGTCCTATAATGCCTATTTTGATTAAGATTTCGAAGGATTTAACCAGAGCGTGTCTTGTAGCGTCGAGTGCCCTTTGATCTGCTGTGTTTACTCTTGGTTGTACCATGCCGGACTTCTTATGACCGAAGGATAATTTTTCTTTCTTTTCTTTCTTTTTTTTTTCTCTTTTTCTTTTGCAGCACACTCTTTGTCATGTAGTGTCCCTTTTACTTCGCTTTAGGGATTTCAATCCTCTTGTTGACTATATGCCTCCATATTTCCAAATTAATTATTAGAATATTGACGTGAGGGGTCAAGAGAAAAGAAACAAAGAGGCAAAAATCAATGGTTTGTGTTTTAGAGGGTTAATTTTTATTGATAGAGTTTTTATAAGAATGGTTGGCTAGGGTTAGGCCTAGGTGTTTAAGCTTTGCCTAAGCAAACAGCTTCCTTCTCTTTTGTATCTACGCCTTTTGGTTTTATTTTCATTGCTTTTTAATGGCTGGCTGATTTCCCTAGAATGCCCTTTGGGTTTTCGAACTAGGATACTGTGCTTGGCCCTAACTTTTGTCTAGGTTCCTTCTTTTTGTAATTTTTGGAGAAATCCTAGCGGACCTTATTTGTAACCCTAACTTTTGCCTAGGCTACCCTTTATTGTTGTTCGGGTATCCTCCGGGTCGACCCTATCTTTTATGTAGCCCCCTTAGTGGGTTTCCTACCGGGTAATTTGCCCTTTTCTTTGGCCTTTGGCTTCTTTGGGCTCTTTTCTCTTTTTTGTGGATTTATTTTTTTCACAGGTATTGGCGCGAAGCATAGACTTTCTTTATGGATGAGGTGAAGTCTTATTTTTATGTGCTTCTAATCAACTAGCTTGATGGCAATAACAATGGTAAATGTTGATTATTTGGATGCGCTTTTTATTCTTCTTTCTTCTTTTTTATTTACTTAAGGCAGGGTTATTCATGAGGTCTAGTCAAAAATAGAGAGAAGAGAAGCGGATAGTAAGAATTATTCTTTATTAATTAATAAGGGAATATGTGCCACTGAGAAATGCTCTGGAGTTCGGAGCTAGCCCGAGGATAATCTCCTAACAATCATGGGGTTTACATCCCTTAAACGAAGAAAAAGATTTCCTAATGACTAAGGTGGCTCTTGACGCTTGCACCCCTCCACGCCTGGAAAGAGTTGGCTTGAGTGTGCGGAGGGGGCACTCCTTTTCTTCTTTCCGCTCGGCCCTTAGTAGGGTCATATCCTAGGCCATACTTGCGGGGATTGTCTTTGAATTCTGGGGGTTCCCTCATGCCTTGGGAATCGCCCCTGGAGTCCTTGGCCAGGATGGTAACCATGTTTCAACATCATACGGGCTACCTTTGCATTTGCGGAAGTCGCTCTATGCGAGGCAATTTCGAGCGCTTGAAAAGATGTTTCAAGGGCCTCTTCAGCCAGCATCCACATAGAGGCTGGGTAGACGGTCGGCTTGATCGAGGATATCATCTTCCGCTTGGGCGCTGACCGGTTTGTCGTCTACTTATGAACTTGACTTTACGGTGGAGCGTTGAAGGTGCCTGCCTTAGCGTCGTGAATCTAGAGTCCTGCCCAAGGAGACAACTATATGCCTGGAGTAATATCCATTACATGGAAATCGGCACGTCGAAGATAGTGGAGTCCGACTTGAATTGTGCAAATTGACCTCTCCCACTACTTCTCGTTTGGATCAAGTCGAGCGCTCAAAGCGATGGTGCTGCTTAGCGCTGATCGGGTTCCCTGGATAGTCAACTTGTCTAGTGTGCACTTGGGCATCATGTTTCAAGGATGACCCGTTATCCACAAGAACTTTGGCGATGAGGTATTCCTTGCACTTGAGTGAGATGTGCAAGGGCTTGTTGTGGTTTGACCCCTCGAGGGGGAGTTCTTCCTCTGTGAAGGGTGAGGTGATACGCTTGCACGTAATGTAACCGAGCAATCCTCTCAACCTTTTCTTGGGATATTGTGTGAGGTACATGCGCCTCGCTCAAGACCTTCGAGCAGAGGCCGTTTCACGTGCGGTTCCGAGCTCATTATCAAAGATAGCAATGATAATCTTTGCGGTGTGTGCGATTGAAGCTTAGCTCTATAAATGGAATACTCACTTTTGCCTTATGAAGCTAGGAGTAATTCCTCTCGTCTCCTCCTTGGATTCTTTATTTTCTTATTCTTCTTCGGTCTTTTTTATTTTTTCCTTTATATTTGAGGACATCTTCCTGTGTGTCCTTGGGGGAGATGGACTCTTCCACTTCTGAGTTGTGCCCCCAAATGCGCGGCTATGTTTGTTATTTCTTCTTTCTTTATTGGTGGAGATTCTCCATATCTCCACTTGATGCATAGCTTTATTCGATTCGTAGGGGAAAGGACGTGGCATAAATAGTCGCACTTGGTGTCCTTGCCCCCTCTTCTTTGTTTTTAAGGACCAACGTCCGAGGCTTATTTTCCTGCGTTTGACGAGTCGACCATTGGGGGTAAAGCTTTATTAGGAGTGGCTTTCGCTCCATTCTTCTGATTTGGGAAGAGGTGTTAGTTAATCATTCCTTTTTATTATCTTATTTATTAGGTGTGAAGGAGGGGAAAATTTAAATATGCAAATTGAATGCTTATGCATGCGAGTAGACAATCATTTGAATAAAGAAAATTTTATTTATTCGACGAAGAAGGTGTACATTCCCCTATTCTATACTGCGAAGCAACTTTTGGCAAAAGCGGGAAAACTTTAAGGAAACCCACAGGCGGGTCTTGGTTCCTCTGTAGTTCCCTCTCAGCTTCCCGGACGTGATGAGAAAGTGCTTCGCTTTGCTTGCGGACCGCCTGACTCATATCTTCACTGTACTTTTGAGCCTCTTTGATCTTCGCCTCTTGATGAACGACCAAGGCTTGTAGTTCATCGAGCTTTTCAACGGCTCGGTCTTTCTCTTGTAGTACTTGGCCATACTGAGCTAGCCCGTCTCTTTCTTTGCAGCGTAGCTCAGCGAGACTTCACGTTGAGTCTCCGATTGGCCTCTCGCTCTTGGCGGATATCTAACCGAGTCTTGAGGAGCTCTTGCGACAACTCCTTGATCGTTTGAGCTCTGTTGATGATTCGGCCTCAAGGCGTGCTTGACTTTGGCGGTTATCTCTGCAGTTGGCTATCTCGAACCCGGTTCTGCGGTTTTGGATGCCCGGATAGCTTGTTCGTTGGAGTCGGCACTGCTTGGTCCTTGAGGCGCTCTATTTCATGATCCTTTTTCTTGCCTTGCATTTGCGGACCATTAATTGTGAGGATAGATTCTTGCTCTTTCTCTTCGAGGGCCCTCATCTGGGCTCCCATGATTTCTATCCTGCTCGGGTCGAGGCATCGATACCGAGCACTGCAGCCCTTCATTATTGGCGCTTGTAGTAGGTGTGATGGATGGTTGAGCCATCCCTCTTCTCTTTCTCCACGCCTCATAGTCAGCGGTGACGGCCTACCCGAGCTTTTCCTAGCTCTCTGTCCCCATGTAGGCTCGGCCTCTCCCATGCTTTTCTCACCGACTAATGAGTTGGCGATTGTGCACGGGTCTCCAAAGAAGCACAGGTCCTCCGAACTCCCCTCGGGAAATAGTAGTTTGGGTCCTCATGAGCTGCCGCTCATAGCTACTCTAGGTGAGTAGGCTATGCAACCCGCGGAAGTCCTATCAAGGGTACGGCTCGGATAGTCCCCACATCGACGAGAGCTCGGGTTGGAGTCGGAACCAGGCGACCAGACGCAGGATAGACCGTTGCGGCGTCCTTTCGTTCCCACTCATCTCCATCCAGTAGTCGAAGTCAGACGACGCTAGAGGGGGATCTTGGAGAAGCTCCTTAAAGGTCGGGGAATATCCCCATGTGGCTGGGGCGTAAAGGTGCGTGGCGCTCGACACAAATAGCAATGAAGAAGCAGCGGTCTAGTGTTTTTCCACTTCCGGTGGCAGAATTCCCACCGAGAGCAGGGTGTCGGCAAGTACGGCAGGCGAGGGACTTTTTGCAGTTCACGTCCCAGGCGAAGAAGGCGTCCATGACGCCTCGATCCTACCGTGTCGAAGTGGAAGGGGAACAAGACCGTTCCAAAAATTATGAGGTGTCGTGGTTTTGTTGCAAGGCGACCCACTCGCCCTTCGTGCCAGTAGGACAGGTGGTCTTCTAGCATTGATACTTTCCAACCCGCAGGCGTTCCCCTTCTTATGAGGGAACTCTGACGGAATGGTAGTTGAATAAGAGGCGGCGATCGGTGCTACAGGAGTGTATGCCTCGTGGCGGACATGGGCCACTGGCTGATTTGGGTCATTTCAACATGGTTTCGTACTCCTCTGAATGTGGGCACCAAGTCGAACCTGCGAAATTTCAAACACCGCAGGATTTGAATTCCAAAGGTGGATTAGTGCCCTTAAGAACATCTTTCGGTCGACATCTAATCTTTAGGAAGTCCACAATCCTTCCATAAGATTTTTCAAAGGCTTGGCCGGACCTCCGATGGCATTGCCGCTAAGCCGTTCCAATCTCTCAGGAATGGAAACGGGAATATCCACCTCTCTTTAGCTGTCTACTTGTCCCCTCCATTTCTAAAACCAAAATGCATGTTTGATGAAAATGATGCTTATTTGAATGAATGTGAGTGTTTATTTTCTTATTCATCATGTTTTTCTATATGATGTATGGTAATTGCGTGTATTTTTTATTTGAAGAATAAGACTATCTATATGAATGTTCTATGAGTGCAACATTTTGGCACCAGGTCTTGTTTTGGAAATGGATTTTTATTGATGTTGATTTGATTATTCTTTTATTTGTTTATATTTGCTTATCTTCTGCTCGTAACTAATGCGGCAATGAAGCTTACAAGGAGCCTTGAAACCAGAGCGGAGTGCAAAAGGTGAACTGGTCCGAGATAAAATGTGGTTGTATGCTGAAAGATATTTAGCGG